TAATTTCATATAGTTGGCAATATCAGTTTGACAGATATGCCTAAATGTAGTTGGTAACACTGCAATTGCCTAACTCTGTATGGGGTTCCTAAGTATACAGTCGTCCGATTTTTGCTAACTCGACTAATGAGTAAGATTCACATCCAAAAAGCATAGCATGTGTGTATATATAATTGCCTTAAAACTGAAGAACTAGTTTCAACGGAAAAAAGACAGACCGCCGAGCTAATTTAGAATATACAAACTTTTGTGGGTCTACAACATTTTTTTCAATGCATTACACAAATTCTAACAAGTCTAGTATACCCTTTTACGCTATTTCTTGTGGAGGGTATAAAAAGTAAAAAATTATTATACCGTGACTTACATTAATATTAAATACCAAAGAAGAACCTTTTCCATGTCAATTTCTATTCGCATTTAACTTAATTGACTGGCATTTAATTTAGCAGTTTACGAATATCTTCCATATTTAATTCCCTTGAAATTACAATACTTGCAATACTTTTTCATAAATAACCTTTGATTACCGATGAAATAAGCTATTCATTTGAAATTACATTAAATTAAATCATTTCAATGATTGTACAAATGAAACAAAATCTACTTATAAATAGATAAATAAATTGTATATCTTTCGTTATGCGTTCCGTTTGCCTTTGCTTTTGATTTGAAGTATTTTGTTTTAATCTCACAAAACAAGCAATGCTAATGAATCACAACAAAAGCGATTATCCTTTAAGTCCTTTGTTAGTCCTTTGACGGAACGAATTGTATATGTGTGAATATTTATTTTAATTATTGCAGACAATAAAAGCACTTCATATTGTTTTCAATTCAATTTACTTTTGTCTTTTCTGTTCTTTGTTTCTGTTTCTGTTTCCGTTTGCGTTTCATCTGTGTTAATATCCGGAATGTACGAGGTTAAAAACAAAAATAAATAAAACTGAAGTGAAGTAGTGTACTGAGAACGAAATTATTTTAAGAAATTGCTAAGTTGCTGCTGTCAATATTTTCAATGAAGTTTTCAATTATTAAATGTTTTGATGAAATCGTTTTTGTCTAAAGGGAGTATTTATACAAAAATAAAATATAAAATACAGTATATATTTAACCACAAGTAATTGATTGTATTAAAGCAGTTCAGAGAATTTTCTATTTTTGGAAAATAAAAAATATAAATAAATTTCTTGAAATAATTTTCAAATTATTAAGACAAGTATTCCTTCAACACATATTATATTATTATTACCAATATTTTATTGCAAAAAAAAAATCTTAACTAAAATTAGTGTTATAAAGTAAAATAATTCATATTGACTACTTGCACAATATAACCGTATATAAAAAATTACTAAATATTGTATAGTTGCATTGTTGTTTTATATTGTATCTATACCAACACTTAGATACAATATAAGAAAAAATCTGACAGATTTTACGTTGATCACCTATGGGTCTGTTGCGTTTTCTTAGAACCCTAGGTTATTGTCAGATATCCCACCACTTAGTTATTTAGTTTTCTTTGTGGTAACTATATATTTTGTATATATATAAAATTTCTGGTAGATTTACCAATTAATTCCATTTGTGTGTTAAACAAGCCTTTCGATATTAGTATCTGATTGTTCTTCGTGGTTTCTGTATATACCATATATTATATTTAAGGCAGATTTACCAATTTCTTTCTTTTTTGTGTTTAACAAGCCTTCCGATATTAGTATCTGATTGTTCTTCGTGGTTTTCTCAGAAGAGATTTTCAGAATTTATAGCCCAATAACTTGCTAATATGTATAGGTATATAGCAAAATAAGGTTTTGAAATTCTGCTTTATATTTTTAGCATAGGCTGTAAAGGTAATCAGTCTGAATTCCCAGTTTATCTATTACTTATTTTACAATTACCGATCACTGATAGTTATAGGTATTCCTATACGTAGTTAATAAATGGCCAGATTTGTTATGTCTTAGAACAAACGATCCCATTTTGACAACTAATTTGTGCTTCCTTAGAGAAAAAAAAACAGTATGTTCTATATTTACAGGTAATGATAGATATGTGGATTAGGACGGGTCGGTTTAATATTCTTTTAAACCTGTAGTGAGAAAACGATTCTATGCATCATTGTGAGTAAAATTTATCAAGAATCCATATGTCTAAAATAGGTGTTAAGTCCACATATTTTTCAAGATAGATTTAGATAGATATTTTGATTCTTGTATTACTAAATAAATTACTGATTGAAAATTGATTATTTTGAAACAATTAAAAAAACCTAAATAGAATTAATTGCAGAAAAAATAAGTGCTTGAAAATACCGTGAAAAAAACTTCTGGGGATTTGTTAATAAAATTCCCGGTTAAATTAATCCACGAACCTCTTTTATAAAAACGAGTAAATTTTACTCGGTATACTGTATTATACAGTTATAGATAAGTAGCCACGGAGGGCGAGAGAGTTGATGTAATGAAGCCTCTTTCGAAATGAATCAAAGACTGTATTTATACATACCTACGCATATTCTTTATTAATGCATCATGACTGTTTATTAAGATAAAATCAATTTTTTTAATTACTTAAAATATCTGAAATATCTCTCAAAATAAATTTTTTAAAAATATTCAATTTACTTATTTTTTATATTTATTTATTTTCAAAATAGTGTGAAGGATATAAAAATGTAAATTAAGTGTAACAAGAAAGATACATAAAAATTATATTAAACGTTATAAATTTCGATATAAATCAGCAATATTTCTACACTAATGACAGTTTTAAAACGTAAATGACACCAAATGCATAATTCATCTGATAATTGCATTGAACTCCTGAACATTTTGTGATTTGCTTTAATCCTGATCATTTAGAATTTTATTAACGTTTTTAAAGCTACTATAGCTGTAGGTATTTTGCTCCAAGTCCTTTAGATGCCAAATAATCCATATGAAATGATTTCGGTGGTGTCATGCAATTGCCAATAACTTTTAACCGCAAACGCTTCCAGTGCCAGATGCATTGTAAATTCCGTTGCCAACGAGATGGTAAAATTAAAAGTATCTTTTAAAGTTGTTGGTATTTCGTTGTTAGTGTTAGTGATTTGCAATTGTTATTGTTTTTTCAGCTACACCCATTATCTTTCAGTAGAAAGTGCAGTAGCAATAAATGAAATTTTGCAGAAAGGTTTATCACGCACTCGTTTGCAATTTTAAATTGGATAATAAATTCTTGGCGACATTCACGTGCAGCCGTTTATTCACTTACTTATATATGCACACTTGCGTTGCACACCCATATTCACATATATAACACACTCTATGGAATTCTTTTTATACTTACGAGTAAATATTTTCTAGACGAAATTATACTTCTTATATCTGCAAGTCCACGTACATGGAGATTCACACTTTTCCACACAAAAATAACTACTCCGGTTATGGGGCACAAGTGCACAAAATTGCTTTTCTGGTTTGGTGTCATAATTCTAATTTTATGTTTCAGTTGTTTAATATTGGCAAAATTTATTTAAATTGTTCAAAAAATAGCAAAAGTTTCTGATAAGATATTATTTATCTTTAAAAAAAACTTGAATATAAAAAATAAGTTCAACAAAGTTATTGATAATTCAATTAAATATTTTTAATATTCACTAAAATAATATATTTTTAGTGATATGAGATCCAAATTGATAGACTCCATATACAGCTAGTTCCTGTCATTGTCAAATCAAAATTTAGTGAAAGTTTAGCAATATTAAAGTATCGCTGATATAAGATTCAAATTGATAGACTGCATATATATCTCGTGCCCTTAATTTTGATATGTACTGTGCATGATTTGACAAATTAAAATTAAGTGGAAGTTTTAAAATATTAGAGTACCACTGATATAAGATCCGAGTTGATGTGTTGCACATATATATGGTGTCTCTCGTTTTGGTATGAGTTATGCATAATTTGTTAAATCAAAATTTAGTGAAACTTTAGAAATATTAGAATATCGCTGATCTGATATCGGAGTTGATAGACTCCATATATAGCTGGTGCCTCACATTTTGATATGTATTGTACATATAATTTGTCAAATCTAAATTTAGTGAAATTTCAGAAATATTAGAGTATCGCTGATCTAAGATCCGAATTGAAAGACTGCAGCTATGTATAGTGCCTTTCATTTTGGTATTCGTAAGAGTTAAAATAATTTGTTTAATAAATATTTAGTGTTTATGGGAAGATTCTTTACAATTTTTTTTCTTTTTAATATGTAGCATTTGATTTAAATATTTCATATATAATAAAAATAAAAAATTTATTAAATTAATATTTAATAGGTTCGATAATTTTAGTGTAATAGTATTAAAAATTAAATAATTTATTTATTTCAAATACTAGCATATACATATGTGGTATATCGTAAATAATGAAATTTTGTCTCCAGTAAGATCTTTATCTCTCAATAGTGAGGAATAAGTAAATTTGTTATGTCATGCAATTCCTTTAATTACAGATTTTTCCTTTCTATTGAAAAGTAAAGCAATGACATACTGTTATGCAAGAATAGTTTTTAATAACACATGCGGGTTGCTTTATTGCTTGTCTTTCAGAATTGTAATTACTTAGATATATAATTATCTATGAAAAGAAACAAAAATATTTAAGTGGATTTTTTCAAATTTATACAAGGAATAGAGATAAAATCACAGTAATATATTACATGTCAAAAAGTGTTATGTATCTCAATGGCGATTAGTCTTTTTTATAAGTTTTGAAGTTTGTAATACTGTTTAATAAATTGTTTGACAATAAGTAGTATTTTTAACTACAATATTAAATTAGTCATATTATACTCTATTTTAAAATTATTACTCAAAAAATCCATTTGAGGGAGAGTAGAATGTAATATAAAATATACAATACAAGCTTTTGTTATTTGATATATTATAGTAGATAATGTAAAATAAGTTAACTAATGAAATGTTAATCAATTATGTTTTCTATTTTCAGGCTCATTTTAGAAAACAATGTAATTGTGTACGGCTAATTTCTATAATAGCTTTTTGTTGAGTGGATGACCCCAAATTAACACGTTCATAGTAGAATCACTTGAGCCTCACTTGAGTGGTACAAAAATGATGGGCTGTTAAGTGACAGCATTGTATAAGAGAGCAGTGAGTTATGTGATGATGATAATAGTCTCATATCAAAAATCACACAAGAACAAGTGTAACTAAAACAAAAGCCGTAAAGAACACATGTAAAAATAAAACTAAAAGAAATAAAAAACAAAATTTAGTAACTTGAATAAAACAAAAACAAAAAAAATTAATTAAGGATATAACGAAATACATTCCGGAAACAAAAATACATAAAAAAATTATTAACATTACAAAATTACTGAGAAAAGAGTTCAGTAACAATTACACAGGACCTGTGAAACTCATAAAAACAATTGTGGCATATGAAGCTAAAATAATTTAACTCAACAGAAATCAACAGTTAAGCATACATTAAACAAAAGGATCAAAAAAATAAAAAAAAAAATTAAAAATAATTTTAAGCAAAAAAGAGGAGGTTGGTTGCGTCAGTGTGTAAGCGCCCACATTATTTGGTTATTTGCACATATAAAAGCAAACAAGCGCACATACAGTCAAGCAGGCATACAGAGGTACAGACATACAGGCAGTCAGGCAACAGCAGACAGATAAACTGATATACAGACAGGAAGGATATAACAAGCTAACATACTGCACAGCGGGAAGCCAACCGATGTAACGGAAGCACTGAAGCAGGCACTAATAAGTACAACGTGTTCTATAAGAAATTTAACAGTTTCTGAGCAACGCCACAAAACAATACAAAAAGTAGCTAATACAGCAGCAAAAGGTTGATTAACTCGGGGCACCAGTTGAAAATGTTAGTTGACAGGCGATTGATAGTGGTTACTGACATGTAATGGGAAAATGTGTTGATGGGTTGCGTACATTAAATTTACTGCATGCTTGCATTTGTCAATGATCTCAACAATCAATTTCATGCACGAGCCGAAGTCATTGACATTGTTAGCACAAAATGACCGATGTGTCCCCAACAGGTATAGGTGTAAAGACCTCCAACACAACGACTGCTACCACAACAACCAACAATACTAATTCAATGCATGAAAACACAGCGGCTACACAACAAAAATGTACAAATAATTCGTTGTCGAATGGCGACGGCTTGACAAAGATACCCACAATAACCAAAGAAGATGAAAATTCGACAAGTAATAATAATCAACCAATTGCAGTGATGTCGACAAGTGTGAGTAGTAGTATTCCGTCTAGAGGACAATCACCAGCTACTACACCTAACAGGGCTGGTGCACAAATAATGCACTCACAATCTGGTATCTACATTAATATGACAACAAAATCAGATCGAATTTCATCAGATAGTGTGACACATGGGCAATCTGGTAATAATAGTGCAGCAAATACAGCATTAAGTTCGCCAGTTAGTTGCGCGAGTCCATCGTTGCATCATATTGGCGGCAAAAGTAGTATGAAGGCAACAGTGAGCGGACGTGAAGCTTCTCAACAAGATGTTGAGGAAGTGGCGCGTCTGTTTGATGAAAAACCTGAAGCTTTTGAAAAATGGTTAACTGAGCGCGCACCACCAGAGGCTTTGTCCAGGTTACATGAATTCATTGAGAGTCGGAAGTTACCAAAGCGACCTTCGGTCACATCAGATTTGTTTCAACAGTGGATGGCTGCATCACCGATGCATGTGAGTATTAAAATTACTTAACTAATATTATTTATTTTATTTTTGACTAATTTCTATTAATAAAATTAATTTCAAATACTTTAATATACATTTGTATATCTAATATATATATATACTTAACATATATAATATATTAATATGTATGCATATATATATATGCCAACAATATGTATTTACATAATATAAATATAGTTGACTTACTTCAACTACTAAAGAAATAAAAATTTAGTCATTTGCAGAATTCGTACACTTTATAGATACCTAAGCATTTCTTCTTGCTTATAGTCGTTGAATATTAAATGGAGTAAACATTAAAAATGCATAACACATTAACTATTTGTTCCTTTTCTTTATTCTTGGGTTATCTTTTTCGTTTACGCTTCTTTATCGCATGTCAGTTTTAATGTGATTTTTGAGAATTTTTAAGAAAGACCTTTCAGACCTTCTGTATATACTAATCATTTGTCTTACCGCATGGTCATCAGTTCCTTTTATTTGGCATATCCTAGTTGCGTACGTTCTTTCATCCATATCATTTTTAATGATATTTTTTAGAGTTTTTTATAGCCTACCTGTTCCTCACAGTGTTCCCTTTATCTACCAAGCTTGTTTTACCGTATGGTCATCAGTTCTTTTTCTTTAGTTTATCTTATTTGCTTACGATTCTTTTTCAGAGTTTTGGCGGCCTGATCTACCTGTCCTATCTTTATCTCCTTAATCTGCAAAACTTATCTCACCGAAAGATCCTTAATTCTTTTCAATACATGACCGTACGAGCGGAAGTCTGTTCCATTCAGGGGGGAAGGGGGCTTGTTTGGGTTAACTAGCAGAAATCTATTTCTTGCAGCTGTATGGTTCCATTGTCCCTCCCCTTCATTATTATTATAAATGTAGTGCATAATTTTACATATAAAGAAAATATTTATATATAATATAATAATATTTATAATACTTATATATTTTTCTACATTTATAAGTATATTATTATATATAGATGATGTGCAATGTTTATCTTCTACATAAATGCTCTTAGTTTGCATTTTCATAAAATGCATATAACTTAAAATTTGTTTACAAAGCCAATTAAATTCTTACAAATTATTTATTTATAATACGAAACACCAAACAAAAGTGTATGAAATATTCATTGCAGAAGCAGAAAATATTTTAAATATTTCATTGCAGTTTTCAGTTGAAATGCAATTTTAAAAAGCAAAATAAAGTGCCAACAACAAAATAAATAACCAAAAAACTGAAAACTTGGTAATGCAGCTGAGATGACAACGATGAAGATGATGATTTTGAGCGAAGCAACAAAATTACTAGCAATTTAATGCTGAAGGTAGTTGCATCATTATGACCATCAACAGCAACAAAATGAAATCCATTCACATTTTACCCAGTGCTGGAATATCTGAGGATGTTTTACCCACTTTCAGCAGCGTTCAGCAACGTTGAGTAGCAGTTGTGAAAGCTGGTGTTGAGGTGGCTTTTGTTCGTAATACCTTTTGGCTACAGTAATTTGGCCAAATGTGACGTACTCATAGTTTATGTAAGAAGGTCCTTTTGGCAATTTACAGCAAATTGAATTTTGTTGGTGGCAAAAAATTACTTACCTAGCAATCTGAGTTTTTCACTCGTAATATTATTATTCGAATTAAGTCAAAACAAATGAAATTTTTGTCTCTCATTCTAAAGAGGTTAATAAATATTTTAATTGCTTTAATTTAACAGAGCTTTAGGTATATAAGCAAATGACACTTACTTTGATTGTTTGATAATTTTAACAAGAAATTTATATATATTTGTTCGTAATAACAGAGTTTAATTAACAACAAATATGACTGAACTTCGATATTTAGACTAATGAATTGCTTATAAATATATTTTCACTGCCCACAACAATAAGTAAATAAATTTATAAAGTCAAGTAATATTATAAAATGTTTATTGACAATGTGTACATACCTAATATTGCATATGTCAATATGTTGGAAATAATTCGGGTTTACTTTTAATGTAGGTTGTTTACTTTAATTCTATTTTAATCAAGAATCAATGTATTAAATGCCAACAAACTAATTTACTAATTCAAATATGCTTTTAATTTTAGGTTGTGCATCAATTCTATATATTTATCTCTTCAAAATATTTTTGTTATATGTTATGTATATATGTGAAACCGTAAAAGTCATCAAGTTTGATCAGTATAATTAAACCCATTTAATTGAAAAACTAAATCAAAAAATCTGACTAATAGCCCATCTATCATCTATAACTCACTCATCTATAATAAAGTTTAAAAAGTATAATTAATCTATAATAAAGTTTAAAAAGTATAATTAAACTTTAGTGCTACCAGTCTATCTCTGTCTAGTAATATACTGACTAGTACTTTAGTTTTTGACCTTATTGAATAAAATACTTCACAGACACTTTTATGAATTCAAGATAATCAAGTCGACTATTAAATAGGATTCGTTGATAGTGATATGTTAGTTCCATATAAAACAATCCAGCTTAAATATATTTTTGTTAGATTTTATCATAACAAAAAAATAAAATAAAATTATAATAGAAATTATACGAAAAATCCTGAAGGACCTTACGAATCTTGAACGTTGCTAGGCCCTTTTTGACACTTTTTCACTGAAAAATTGAAATGCTACATTTCTTAGAACACTTTATTATTTGAGAGAGTTTTGTGTTGCTTATAAAGTTGAGTCTCAGAAAAAAATTGAAATCAATTCGTAAAAATTTGATTTTATGATTAATTACTGTTTTTAATGCGAAACGTCAAGATATTATGAATGCATCGAAAAATTTCTACTCCTGTCAACAAAGCCTCATCATTTGCAACTATGAAGACCAGTATCAGGACGATGTTCGAGAAGATTGTCCAATATCAGTTGTGCCAGAAACTATTGATGGTATCAAAAAAATAATAATTCAAATTCCTTATGTAAGATATCGTTAGATGAAGCCTACTTTAGGCATTAATTTTTGTTAAATACACCATAATTTTATAACATTTTAGGCAGATAATTGATTGATCGATTAGTTTAATGAAACGTTGAAGAAAAAGATGAAATAGCATTGCTTTAATAGATGGATGTACGTTTTTAAGAATATTATAATTATAATTTTGATAGATAAAAAATCATGAACCCATGCACGTGAGAATGAAACTAGAAGTCTTCTGTATGGTGTTTCGCGACGAACGAATAAATGATCTCCTGTTTTTGCTTGAAAAGTGATTATGTTGATAACAGTGTCATTAATGTAAAATAGGTCAATTCTAACCGAGCTCTCTTTTAAGTCGATGCAAACACTCAAAACTTCGAATTATTCGATTATTTGTTACATTTTACGTGGACAGCAGTTTATGTCAATAGGAAAACCTGAAATCATAACACGTCTGAATAGAAAAATCACTGAATAAATGGTTGAAATTCAAAAAATATATTTTTTTTAATCATTTTTTATTTATTTATAAGAGTCACAAAGTCTACAGGGACATATCTTCATGCCTATTAAAAAAAGAATTAAAAAATGACTCTACTTTCTTATACTTATGCAGTTTCTTATACTTTATTTGAGAACAAAAATAAATGCATCCAGAACATTTTGGAAATTAAAACTCAGGGTAGTTCTAATAGTTTTAATATGTGAGCATCAAATGTAATAAGTCTATTCCATAAGCCTCTTCATCGTCTAAATGACAATAATCTAAGTGATATTATATACTATAAATGAAATGAACTAATTTCGCTTAATTTCATTCTAATCAATCTATATAATTAATCTAACATCCAACATCTAAGCTATCTAACAGGTAGCTAACCTTACCTAGTAATGTGAATTGTTACTCAAAATCTGCTGCCTCAACTTGGTTAAATAAAATGTGGTTATTATAAGAACCTTATATAATACCTATAAAAAAATATTATTAAGATAGAATTGCTTCATGTGCAAACGTTTTAAAACTTTTTATTTAGCCAAGATATGGTTGAAATTACCTTTACTAAAGTTTTAAGTGTATAATTTATTATATGCACTTTTACTATTGCTATCACTACACCTATCTTTAAAACTTTAGAATAAAGTATAATAAATTACTCTAATTATAATTTTTTATTTCCGAAAAACACTTGAAACAAGAAAATATAATTTTTCCCCGCAAATTATTTACAAAATTTAACAAATAAGCAGCTTTTCACTTACAAGTAATTTATTTCCTAATTTGTTTAATTTTTTGCTGCATCTAACACTGGTAAAAAACCACTTCACTTAATGCAAAAAGTAAGTGCCTTGTACATGCTTAAGTCCTACTAAATACAGCGTACTTTACGAATCCTAGCCAATTAATAACAAATTAACATTTAAAGCCATGAAAAACCAGGAGTTTGTGGAAGAAAATGCATAATTCTTAAGTCGGAAAGAGCGAAACGAACTTAGCAAATCTTTTATTTTTGGTTCTTCTACGATTTTGGACTTTTCATAGTTTGAAACTTTTGCTTAAAGCAATATTGTAGGCTAGGGAAAGAAGAAAAACAAGATTACAATTAAGTTTGACTAGGAAAAGAGAGAAGATGAAATTCATTAATTTTTTACGGATTTTCTTGAAAACAAAAATTAACTTAAAACTGCATTGTTTTTAGTAAGACACCGACACATTTTCCTTTGCACTTTCTACTCTCATCTGCAATACTTTTAAAAGTTGCTTATTATAATGAAATAAACTTTTTCCCAACTTTGTTGCAGCAAAACAACAATGTTTTCCTTATTTCTTCCAGTGTAGTAATGCACTGCATTGATTTTAAGAACTGCGCTAAGACAAACAATGTTGAACAAAACCAAAAATAAATTTAAAGTTTCATCTACAGTTGTCAACAAAAAGTTTATTGTCATAAAACCCAATTTTATGTATGGAATACATATATATTTAATTGACTGCACATGTCATTCCTTGCGACTGACCCGCTCCTTTATGCAATTGAAATGTCATGTCACTTTTTAAT